CAATTATAAATTCCAGCATATCCACTGTCAAAGTAAAGTTATCGCTACTGTTCTTACCACACGTCACCATCTACCAAAACGATGTTATTCCTAAATACAGTAAAGTTTAAATATCCCTAACTCCAGTATCCCTAAAATACAGTAAAGACAGACTTTCCTTCCACAACTCTTGCACAAAAGTTCATTTATTAAAAAAGAATTACAATTTCCTGTAACTTGGAACAATGCTCATCACAAGTTCAATACATCTGAAAACTTTAGGTGATATGCACATATCGCCTAGAGCAGCCACTTCAAAGGAGACAGCAAAGTGCACTAGCCAGCCGCTGGAAAGGAAAAGATCAGTGGTAGTAGTAGGCATCAAAGAACAAGAGGGTTCCAGTCAGGCAGAGGGGAAAGCTAAGAGGGAAACAGCAGTGACAAGGATCCTAAAGGGGATACAGATGAAGGGGTCTGAAAAAAAACAGAGAAGGTCTTCAGGCTAGGCTGGTACAACAAAGACCTGATAAGGATCGTGTTCACAAGCGAGACTATAAAAGAGGAAATTTTAGCCAAAGAGCCACCAGTTAAGAGTAAGGGAATACAAAAGGGTATTCCTTCAGATGAACATGACAAGAGAATCATGGCAGCAGATGCAAGGAAGAAGTGCAGGGAGAGGGGAGAGAACCAGGGTACGATGGTTCCCCCCCCCCATCACTCCTAGAAGGGAGTGGGGAAACCCCCTCCAGCAGCTCAGCAACCCAAGAGAAAGGGTACAACACCCCGACCCCCTTTCCAAATAGAAACCCTCCTCATCCCAAGCCCTCTCTGTCCCCATTCAATTGCCCAAACCATCACTCCACACCCTCCCCCTGTTCCACCTTTCCCTACCCCCCCCCCCTCCCCTCACCCCAGAATCCGTCAATGACCCGCTAACCACCTCACAAATTGCCACCCCCAGCAGAGCATCTTCCTGCACCAGTGGTAGGGCCATCAAGGGAAAAAGGAAGCGAGAATGGACAGAGGAAAGTGAGCTTCAAGGTAATGTACTCAAACATAGATGGACTCCCAAATAAAACAGGCAAACTTGGAGAAAGGCCACAAGAAGAAAACCCAGATATAATAAACCAAGATAAAATAAAAAAAGTCATAATAAATGCAGTGTTACAACAGGATTACTAGATTACTATGTGGTATGAAAAGAGAGGGAAGGAAGAGGAGGAGGAGTGACTCTGCTGATAAGAAAAGACTAGGTCTTTGAAGAGATCATTACCCCAGGCTGTGAAGGGTTCAGTGAATATATAACAGGCACCATGGCAATCAGAGGTTAAAAAAATTATAGTACAGTAGTAAGTAATATACAACCCACCCACCAAATGACAGAAGACCCCAGACAGGAACACGACAGAAACAGCATGGCTACTGTTAATATAAGAGAGAGAGCAGCTTCTGTCGGTTGCAGTAAAGGATACAGTCTGTAATGATGCGAGACTTCAACCACAGGAAGATAGACTGGCAGAACAGAGACTCCCATGGAGGACCAGATACATGGAGAGCTAAGCTTTTGGACGTGACAACAAGAAACGTCCTAAACCGACACGTCAAGAGAGAGACAAGAATGAGACGAGAGGATGAAACAGCTAGACTTTATCTGACATTCACCCTGAATGAGTTGGACATAAGGAAAGTTAAGTTGGGAGCCCTCATGGGAACGATTGACCACAATGTACTATCATTTGAGTATTTGATAAAGTTGGGGGTAATCTCCCCCCCCCCCCCAAAAAAAAAGTCCAGAAGGCAAGAGGAAAATACTGATAGGGAAACTATGAGATGAGAAAATTCCTAACAGAAATACCATGGGAAACAGAACTCAAGAGTAAAGTCTGTACGAGACATGATTAAATCACACGAAAGTGTCAGGAGGCAGTAAATAAGTTTATCCTGGCCCAAAAAAGAAAAGAAAATGAGAAGCAAAAAAGAGAAATCCATGATTTAATTGGGCAAGCGAGGAAGCAAGCACTCAAATATATGGGCATGAAGGAAATACAGAAATAACAGAATGCCAGAGAGCAGAGGGAGATATCAGAGGGCTAAGAATGAATACTTCAATGTGATAAGAGAAGTTGAGACACAGTATGAAAATAACATAACAAATACTGTAAAGTAAAAGACCAACCCAAAACTGCTCCTACAGTCACATCAGGAGGAAAACAAGTGAAAGAACAGGTGATGAAACAGAGAACAGGAGAATGGGTGAGGACAGGTACACAAGGAATGAGAGTTGTGCTCACCTAGTTGTGTTTGTAGGGGGAGGGAATTTTGGCTCTCTGGTCCCGCCTCTCAACCGTCAATCAACTAATGTACAAGTTACCGAGTCTACTGGGCTCTATCATATCTGCATTTGAAACTGAGTATAGAATCTGCCTCCACCACATCACTGCCTAGTGCATTCCAGTTGATAACTACCCTTACACTGAAGAAAAATTATCTAACTCATTTGAGTACTAAGCTTCCACATGTGTCCCCTTGTTAGTGTTCTGCCCATGCTAAATTTTCTTTTACTTTGTCCACCCTGTCAATTCCTCTGAGAATTTTGTAGGTGGTGATCAAGTCTCCCATAACTTCTGTTTTCCAGGGATGAGAGGCTCAAGCCTGAATACCTGAATCTTCTCTAACTTTGTCTTGTTTAACTAGGTATGGACTTCAGGCTAGAGCTGCATATTCCAGGATTGTTCTGATGTATGTGGTAAAAAAGGTTCAATAAGTGTATGAAGAACTCGAGAAGGGATTCCAGAAGGTCTTCACCGTAGGAAGAGGAGAGGTCCCTGAACTAAGAAAGATGGCAACAAACCAGGAAACTTTGGAAGAGTTCAAAATTACCAGGAATGAAGTTAGAAGATATCTGTTGGATCTGGACGTGAGAAAGGCTGTTGGACCTGACAATCTCTCCTTGGATACTGAAAGTGTGTGCAGAGGCACTTAGCTTACCACACTCTCCATGATATATAAGAAGTCACTGGAAACAAGAAACCTACCAGAAATATGAAAGACAACTAATGTAACCCCAATATACAAAATGGGTGACAGGCAAGAGACACTGAACTACAGTCCAGTGTCCTTAACTTGTATACCATATAAGGTGATGGAGACGATCGTGAGGGAAAACTTAGTAACACATCTGGAGAGAAGTTACTTTGTAACACACCACCAACAATGGTTCATTGATGGGCAAACTTGCCTCACAGGTTTAATAGAATTCTACAACCAGGTGACAAATATTAAGCAAGAAAGAAGGTTGGCAGATTGTATTTTCTTGGACTGTCTGAAAACCTCTGACACAGTACCCCATAAGAGGCTGGTGCATAAGTTGGAGAAACAGGCAGGAGTAACTGATAAGGTGCTCCAGTGGATAAGGAAGTACCTAAGCAATTGGAAGCAGAGAGTTAGTGCGAGGTGTGAGGTCTCAGGATGGCATGATGTCACTACCGGAGTCCCACAGGGTTCTGTACTCGGACCTATCCTGTTGTTTATATACTGTATATAAATGATTTCCAGAGGGTATAGACTCATTCCTCTCAATGTTTGCTGATGATGCTAAAATTATGAGAAGGATCAAGACAGCATGAGGTTACAAGAGGACCTGGACAAACTGAAGGAATGGTCCGACAAATGGTTATTAAAGCACTGGGCTTTGCATCACGTAGGTGGAGGTTCTAGTCCCAGCAAGGGTATCTGGAACTTTAAAACATTCTCAATCATACTCGAGCATATGTAAGGTGTTGAAGACGGGTAGGATGCAAGAGACCAAATACAAGGTACCATTTGGCAGATGAAATCCTTCAAGAATCTGGGAGTTGATACCATACCAGACCTGTTCCCTGAAGCCCATATCACAGCATTATATGCTAGATTGGCCAACATAAGAACTACCTTAAGAAACTTGTGTATGGAATCATTCAGGATATTATATACACCACATGTCAGAATGATCCTGGAGTAAGCAGCTCCAGCTTGGAGCTCTATTCAAGCACAGGACTAAATTCGAGAATGTTCAAAAGAATACCACCAGACTGGTATCCAAGCTGAGAGGTATGAGCTAGGACTGGTCCCAAATCTGCACACAAAAGTAACACCACATGAGACCAGGAGGCATGGCAGGATGTGCAAAATATCCCCATTAAAAAGCAGAGGTGCAATAGGTACTCAGAGAGAACTATCAACATCAGAGGCCCGAGACTGTTCAACACGCTTCCACTACACATAAGGGACATAACTGGCCGACCCCTCACAGTGTTCAAGAGAGAACTATCAACATCAGAGGCCCGAGACTGTTCAACACGCTTCCACTACACATAAGGGGCATAACTGGCCGACCCCCTCACAGCTTCAAGAAAGAACTTAATAAACATCTCCAAGGATACCTGATCAACCAGGCTGTGATTCATACATCAGGCTGTAAGCAGCTGTGTCCAACAGCCTGGTTGACCAGTCCAGCAACCAGGAGGCCTGGTTGAGTATCGGGCCGCGGGGACGCTAAATCCCAAAATCATCACAAGGTACAAGGAGGGACTACGGGAACTGAACCTTACAACACTGGAAAACAGAAGAGTTCAGAGACATGATCAATACTTATAAAATTCTCAAGGAAATGACAAGGAAGATAAAGACAAACTATTTAACACAGATGGTAAACATACACAGGGACACAGGTGGAAACTGAGTACATTACTCGAATAAGTACATATCAGAAGGATTTTTTTTGTGCGAGTGTGTGTCAGATTAGTTAACAAATGGAATGCATTAGACTGATGTAGTGGAGGGTGACTCCATACACAGTTTAAAATGTAGATATGATAAGAGCCAAACAGACTCAAGAATCTGTACACCAGTTGATTGACGATCAAGAGGTGGGACCAAAGAGCCAACGCTCAACCCCTCCAAACACGACTAGGTGAGTACATCTTTGCTAAACCTCCACTTTTGTAACCTAATTTATAATGCGAAGATTTATGTAAACTTACTTGTTAATAAAAACTTCAAGTCCTTTGCGTCGATCCTCAATAAATTCCTCTTCATATATGCCATCATCTCCTCGGAATGGTAGTTGCCTCTTTAATGCCTTTCCAGGTAGTGGTGGCACAACTATCTGGTTTAAGAGACGATAGTATGAAATAAACATTTAACATGCACAGTATCAGCTTATTAACTAATCATAAAGGCATAAACATATTTTATCACGAGGATGGTCAAATACTGCTAAGGAATCCTCGTTTCCCATGTGAGCATCTTGCAATAAAAGCAGGACAGAATTATGTCATGTTCTTAAAAATATTTATAACTAAATAACATCTTGGTTCTGATGTTATTCTGATTCTGTTTGCTATTTTGTTGCAAAGTTTTGCACTTTTTCTATTTACTGCATGTTTTGTGTTTCACAAGGTGCAGATTTCTGGCTGGTACTGTATTCCTGCATTTGTTTACCATAGGCTGTAGATTGCCATGAACGAGTCCTTATTTAGGTTCTTATATGACAATTTTGCCAGCTTACCATATGTGGCTGATGTTACCCTGTTTTTGTGTACCTCTGCTGTTAATGTTGGAATTATATCTACTTCTAAATCCTTTTCTATCCAACTCCTGTAGTTACTGTCCCCTTATGGTGTAGATACCTTCTGGTTTCTACTTTTCCCTTTTCCATCTTCAATACCCCTTGTACCTGGATGGGGTCCTGGGAGTAGTTCTACTCCCCAAGCTTGGCCCGAGGCCAGGCTCGACTTGTGAGAGCTTGGTCCACCAGGCTGTTGCTTGGAGCGGCCCGCAGGCCCACATACCCACCACAGCCCGGTTGGTCCGGCACTTCTTGAAGAAAACACACTACAGTACTTTTCTCTTAAAGATGCCTACGGTTATTCCAGCAATATTTCTTATACTAGCTGGGAGGATGTTGAACAACTGTGAACTTCTGATATTTATAATGTTCTCTGATTGTGCTCACTATTTAGAATAAGTTCTTGCAGACATGTATCTGCCCACTCTTGGGGTGTCTTTCACCAAAATTATACCTCCCAGTAATTTTTTGCAATCCTCCTCATTTTTTACAATCCTCATTAGCTTTGCATCATCTACAAACACTGACATGTAAAAAGTTCACTCCATCAGGTAGGTCATACACATTCTGTATTAAGAACAACAATGTTCCCAAGCCTTTTGGGGGACCCAACTGGTCACCTCTCTCCAGCTCGACCTCATCTCTGACTGTGACTTTCTTTCTGTCCAGGAAAGATGGTGGTGGAGGGAGTGGCAGGGAGATACAAGATTACCAAAGACCACTGGGCATGACAGGACATATGAGGATTCAGTGCTTAAAATTTGCTACTAACATAGGTCAGATTTGCTACTAATATACTGTAGGTCTAATCTGAAACAGTCCCAATCTAGTCAGAGCACTATAAACAGACACTGTAAACCAATTACATAACAAAACCCATCACAGTATTCCCTGGCTCTGAGGTGCAGTTGCAGATTCATCAATACACCGTATGATTACCACAGTAGCAACCTTACTTGTGAAGGTAACACAGACTTTGCAGCCAGGTTACTGTCCTTGCCTAACAACACGACACCTTATAGCATTAGAATGGCCAAAAGGCTCACTGCTAAGCTAATCTCTCTCTCTCAAGATCATCATTAACTGCACTCAGCTTCCTCAAGCATAAATAACCTGATTATACTGGCTGTTCTAAGAACGTAAACCATAAAGAACTAAATGAACTAACCTTGCTGTCCCTTTCAAGCTCATTTCTTAACCATTCAAAATCACTGTACCTCCTCCGCACACTTGATTCCTTCACCTTAAACACTGGTAAGTTGGTCTGAAAATTAACATTTAGTTAGTGAAAAAGACAGATTTTCTGCAAATTTACATATGCACTATATATAACACTGACCATTTTCAAAATACAGTAATTAAGGTTAAAAAAAAACACTGATATGAATAAATCCTATTAAGATGCCCGAGGGGTATCTATTATACCAGTACAATATACTGTATATGCAAAGAAAAATCAATAAAAAGTTAAAATCCAAAATTAAATTCATTAACAAAATGCCCAGTGACCAAATTAAACTTTTCTCAAGTTCAGGGATTTACCATCAATCGAAAATGATGTAGCTCCTCTATAATAGACTGAAACAACTAAATTAAACATTTTAGAGGAATGAGCCCTTGAAGGGTACATGGTCACCCCTATACTGTATACCCCACTCCCCAACCTACACACACACACACACACACACACACACAAAAACTAATCACAACTAAATGGGTAGAACACCTAGAGAGAAATATAATAATATCAGACAGACAGTATGGTTTTCGATCTGGAAGATCCTGTGTATCGAATTTACTCAGTTTCTATGATCGAGCCACAGAGATATTACAGGAAAGAGATGGTTGGGTTGACTGCATCTATCTGGACCTAAAAAAGGCTTTCGACAGAGTTCCACATAAGAGGTTGTTCTGGAAACTGGAAAATATTGGAGGGGTGACAGGTAAGCTTCTATCATGCATGAAAAATTTTCTGACTGATAGAAAAATGAGGGCAGTAATCAGAGGCAATGTATCAGAATGGAGAAATGTCACAAGTGGAGTACCACAGGGTTCAGTTCTTGCACCAGTGATGTTTATTGTGTACATAAATGATCTACCAGTTGGTATACAGAATTATATGAACATGTTTGCTGATGATGCTAAGATAATAGGAAGGATAAGAAATTTAGATGACTGTCATGCCCTTCAAGAAGACCTGGACAAAATAAGTATATGGAGCACCACTTGGCAAATGGAATTTAATGTTAATAAATGTCATGTTATGGAATGTGGAATAGGAGAACATAGACCCCACACAACCTATATATTATGTGAGAAATCTTTAAAGAATTCTGATAAAGAAAGAGATCTAGGAGTGGTTCTAGATAGAAAACTATCACCTGAGGACCACAAAGAATATTGTGCAAGGAGCCTATGCTATGCTTTCTAACTTCAGAATTGCATTTAAATACATGGATGGCGATATACTAAAGAAATTGTTCATGACTTTTGTTAGGCCAAAGCTAGAATATGCAGCTGTTGTGTGGTGCCCATATCTTAAGAAGCACATCAACAAACTGGAAAAGGTGCAAAGACATGCTACTAAGTGGCTCCTAGAACTGAAGGGCAAGAGCTACGAGGAGAGGTTAGAAGCATTAAATATGCCAAAACTAGAAGACAGAAGAAAAAGAGGTGATATGATCACTACATACAAAATAGTTACAGGAATTGATAAAATCGACAGGGAAGACTTCCTGAGACCTGGAATTTCAAGAACAAGAGGTCATAGATTTAAACTAGCTAAACACAGATGCCGAAGAAATATAAGAAAAGTCACCTTCGCAAATAGAGTGGTAGACGGTTGGAACAAGTTAAGTGAGAAGGTGGTGGAGGCCAAGACCGTCAGTAGTTTCAAAGCGTTATATGACAAAGAGTGCTGGGAAGACGGGACACCACGAGCGTAGCTCTCATCCTGTAACTACACTTAGGTAATTACACTTAGGTAATTACACACACCCAAGAGGCTACTCAGTTTGGAGACGTGACAGGAAAACTAGGAAGGGAGGAGGAGTGGCTGTACTGGTGAAAAAACACCTGAAGGTAAAAGAGTTAATATTTGAAAACCCTCGAGATATTGACATAATGGCATTGCAGGTCTGGAATCAGGATGATAAGCTGATAATTGTAAATACCTACAGCCCACCAGCAGCAACACATGGACAAAGGAAGAACTGGATGACAAACGAGAGGGCCTCATAATGGTCATGAGAGATATTATTGTACAAGCAGATAAAGATAAATCACGGCTGTTGATACTGGGGGACTTCAACTTTAGAGGAATAGACTGGGAGGCCTATGAAGCAAGAACGGAGGACTTTTGGACATGCAGATTTGTGAACCTCATTCTGGAGACATTCTTGTATCAACACATAAAGCAAGCTACAAGAATGAGGGAAGGAGATATACCGTCAGTACTGGATCTAGTATTCACCAGGAAAGAAGAAGAGATTTTTGACATCCAGTACCTTCCTCCCTTGGGAAAGAGTGATCACGTCCTGTTAGACATTAAATATGCTTTAAGATATCATCTAGAAGAAAATGGGGACACTGAAACAGTTGATAAACTCGATTTAAGGAGAGGCAACTATGGGGAACTTCGAAATTTTTTTAATGAGTGTAATTGGACAGAATTGTTGCTAGGCAGGGAAGTAAATGAAATGTATGCCAAATTTTTAAAACTATACGAGGAAGGCACACAAACATTCATACCAAAACAGAGATGCAGGGCCAGAAAACAGGATTGGTTCGACAGAAATTGTGAGAGGGCAAGAGACCAAAAGACACAAAAATGGAATCAGTATAGGAAGAGGCCAAACCCCCAAACATACCAGCGATACAAAGATGCGAGAAACAACTATACAGCAGTAAGGAGAGAGGCAGAAAGAAATTTTGAAAAAGGGATAGCAGATAAATGTAAAACAGAACCGGGCCTATTCTACAAATTCATAAACAACAAATTGCAGGTAAAGGATAATATCCAGAGGTTGAAAATGGGAAACAGATTCACGGAAAATGAAAAGGAAATGTGTGAAACATTAAATGAAAAGTTCCAAAGTGTGTTTGTACAAAATGAAATCTTCAGAGAACCAGACACAATAAGAATTCCAGAGAACAACATTGAGCGGATAGAGGTGTCTAGAGATGAAGTGGAAAATATGCTAAAGGAGCTCGGGAGGAACAAAGCAGCTGGCCCAGATGGCGTTTCACCATGGGTTCTGAGAGAATGTGCATCTGAGCTCAGCATTCCACTTCACCTGATCTTTCAGGCATCCCTGTGTACAGGAATCGTAGCAGACGTGTGGAAACAGGCTAACATAGTTCCAATCTACAAAAGTGGCAGCAGGGAAGACCCCCTCAATTATAGACCTGTATCATTGACAAGTGTAATAGTGAAAGTATTGGAAAGGCTAATCAAAACTAAATGGGTAGAACACCTGGAGAGAAATGATATAATATCAGACAGACAGTATGGTTTTCGATCTGGAAGATCCTGTGTATCGAATTTACTCAGTTTCTATGATCGAGCCACAGAGATATTACAGGAAAGAGATGGTTGGATTGACTGCATCTATCTGGACCTAAAAAAGGCTTTCGACAGAGTTCCACATAAGAGGTTGTTCTGGAAACTGGAAAATATTGGAGGGGTGACAGGTAAGCTTCTAACATGGATGATAAATTTTCTGACTGATAGAAAAATGAGGGCAGTAATCAGAGGCAATGTATCGGAATGGAGAAATGTCACAAGTGGAGTACCACAGGGTTCAGTTCTTGCACCAGTGATGTTTATTGTCTACATAAATGATCTACCAGTTGGTATACAGAATTATATGAACATGTTTGCTGATGATGCTAAGGTAATAGGAAGGATAAGAAATTTAGATGACTGTCATGCCCTTCAAGAAGACCTGGACAAAATAAGTATATGGAGCACCACTTGGCAAATGGAATTTAATGTAAATAAATGTCATGTTATGGAATGTGGAATAGGAGAACATAGACCCCACACAACCTATATATTATGTGAGAAATCTTTAAAGAATTCTGATAAAGAAAGAGATCTAGGAGTGGTTCTAGATAGAAAACTATCACCTGAGGACCACATAAAGAATATTGTGCAAGGAGCCTATGCTATGCTTTCTAACTTCAGAATTGCATTTAAATACATGGATGGCGATATACTAAAGAAATTGTTCATGACTTTTGTTAGGCCAAAGCTAGAATATGCAGCTGTTGTGTGGTGCCCATATCTTAAGAAGCACATCAACAAACTGGAAAAGGTGCAAAGACATGCTACTAAGTGGCTCCCAGAACTGAAGGGTAAGAGCTACGAGGAGAGGTTAGAAGCATTAAACATGCCAAAACTAGAAGACAGAAGAAAAAGAGGCGATATGATCACTACATACAAAATAGTAACAGGAATTGATAAAATCGACAGGGAAGATTTCCCGAGACCTGGCACTTCAAGAACAAGAGGTCATAGATTTAAACTAGCTAAACACAGATGCCGAAGAAATATAAGAAAATTCACCTTCGCAAATAGAGTGGTAGACGGTTGGAACAAGTTAAGTGAGAAGGTGGTGGAGGCCAAGACCGTCAGTAGTTTCAAAGCGTTATATGACAGAGTGCTGGGAAGACGGGACACCACGAGCGTAGCTCTCATCCTGTAACTACACTTAGGTAATTACACTTAGGTAATTACCACCACCCCCCCTCTGCATAGAAACTCTCCCTTCCCCTCACCCTACCTGCCCCCACCCAAATACTCACCCGACCCTTCCTCCCCCCCCCACCCCATTCTGACCCTGTCACCCCTCCCCCATTCCCACCATGTCCCACCCTCCTGCCCCCCCCCCCCCATCCCCCTTCATCCCATACACTCCCTATCCCTCCTCCTCCCCCCTCACCCCGTATCCTCCATGTCCCCCCTATCTCCTTAACCCACACCCTACCTGTCCCCCCTTCCCTTGAACCCCCACCCCCACCCCAAAATCCTCTGAGACCCTGCAAGCCACCTCACAGATCTTCTCACCCACGGAACAGCTTCCCACACCAGCAGAATGCTCGCCAAGAAGGGGACAAGAAAATGAACAGAAGAAAGTGAGCTTCAAGGCAATGTACACTAACATAGATGGGATTACAAATAAAACAAGTGAACTCAGAGAATGGGCACTAGAAGAAAACCCAGACATAATAGCACTCACAGAAATAAAGCTAACGAAAACC